ATCCCCCTGAATTTGAAGCAGAGGAGTTTAAACTGAATTCTGAATCCTCACTTTTATTCCACCTTTGCACAGTAAATTAGTGTAGAGATTATTTTAAGAAGGCAAACTTTGTGTTCATGAACTGGTTTAGTGACCATGGGTTAGAAATGAGCTTGTTGTCTTGTTTGTAAGATTACGGCACACAGGCACATGGGAAAAGTACATTTTAGTACCCTGTCTACATTGGGGGGGGGGGAATGTTTTAATGAAAACTTATTTTGTTGCATTGGGGAACCAAGGAGTATATTACAGTTGGATATAAGGAAATATATTAATAAAAATTCTTTAATATACAGCGCATTTGTTATTGGTGTTTGGTATTAATAAAATGTGGATCCTACATTTTCTTTCCTTTAAAATATCTTCTGTTTTCTTCAATCTCTATAGAGAGCTCCACTGAATAAGAATTGCAAAGATGTATGCAAAGAAGCTTGTAAAAAATAGTGCTACTATTTTGTAGTAAATAAATAAACTATTTTTAGTATTCAGTGTAACACTCTTTGCAGCAGGGGCCATGTTGAGTGCTTATTGACAAATGATCATAATACAAACAGTGATCTTGGCCTCACTAGTTACAGATAAGTTATGTGCTATCAGATGGATTTAGCTGTTGGTAGGATGTGTTTGAGATTTGTAGCATTAGATTCTATATTGTAAAAAGCTGCCTGTAGTTTCTTTCTTACTAATAAAAAAAGAGGATAAATTGATCAGCGTAATAAAATGTTGCAGAGTCCAATCTGAGTTCTCAGTTCCCCGAGGATGGGCTCCAGCATGAGTCCAAAGGCTCTGGTCCCGGTCACCAACTCAGATTGGACCTTGCAAAATTATCTTGGGACAATTATATTTGTCTACATTCATAAAGTGTTGCCACTTCCTGCTTTCTTATTTGCCATTTTCCTGCAATTGTTTTATGCAATTATTGGAAGACTTTCTTTTGTGCTTATACTCATCTCAGTGAAGTCTACTTTCCAATGTTTGGAAGGTTAATTGGAAGATTTAAATGTTGCTGTGAGTGTGGCTTTGTTTTTCTTTCAGTTTAACCTCAAGTATAGGAGGATTCAGTTGCAGTCTTACTCTAGAATCCACAGCAATAAATCTAGTTCATTTCAGAGGGGCTTAGTCCCAGATTTGTTCCTTCAGGCTGCAATCTAGTACACAGTTAACTGAAAGTAAGCCCATTAATCAAAAAGAGATTGTTTCCACTGCAGTATACATAGGATGGTGCAATTCAGGACAGTTTCTCTGCCCTTTCAATATAACGTCAGATCTTGGGGAGTTTTGTGCCTTAAACATTTTTATTCCGTGTGAAAAATCTATCCGAAATCGAAAAAAGGCCAGTGTCAAAAGAAATGCAGTCAAAGAAATGTATCACTCTCTGTGCTCACTAGAAATTGATGGAGCTTTTAAGTGAGAAAAACCGTTGCTTTTGCATAGGTTGAATGTTTGTTTGGGTTTTGTCAAGTATAACGTTAGCATTGTCTCCTCCCTCCTTAAAGAAAACAGATTCTTGGGCAGCTAGCTGGTGTCAAAAGGAGATGTTTCAATTTTATCTATTGAATAGATAAAATAAGACTTTGAGGGGGAAGCAAGACTTCAGATCTGGACAAGGAAAGGGTCTGAAATGTAGATGGTAGCAGATTCCAAGCGGAACTAGAAAACGAATCCATCCTGGGCTGAGTGTACTAGACCTCACCAAAATTCCGTCATTTGGCTTCCTGTATCAATTTCTCTCCAGAGACCGCAGTAATTGACATTTTGGGGTATTACGCCAATGAAAGTGGAAGTTCTGCTTTGCTATTTAAGTTAAGAAGTTTGTCAACAATTTATTATCTCCATTTAAAGCCATCTCTGGAAGCAGCGGTCAATTCAGATTCTGGAGGCAGATTCTTCAGTTAATACATTTGATTAAAACATTATCTAGACTGTAGCAGTAGTGATTTGGATTGAAAGTGTTAAATTTCCTAATCTCCAGAACTCAAATTACTGCTGCCTCCCCCCCCCCCCACACTTAGATGTTTCAGCTTTTTTTATAGTTTTGGGTTGTCTCTTTCTGCAACTTTTCTGTCTTGGTGACTACTTGTTATAGTCTTTTAAAAATAATAATAATAAACAAAGATAAACAAGCAAATTTCAAGCAGATTCCGTCCAATAAGAATCAAAGGAGTTAAAGGCTGTTATCAATGGGGGAAACAAATTCTGTGTAAGCTAAAAGAATAATGGGGTAGGTATGTAAATGGAAACTGTACATATTGCTAGAAACCAGGAAGAAATTAATATCAGGATAGCAGTTTGTGCAAGCTAATAATTCTGGTACTCGCCCCTTAAGTGCATTGAAACATTTAGAGCGAGATAGACATTTATTTCTACAGTCTGCTTAACAACCAATCGCCACTATTGAATTTTTAGCATTGATCGTTAGATTGTATACAAGGCGCAGAGCGACAGCCTGACGTTCACTGTAAGCTTTTCTTTGCTCAGAAGTCACTGGTATTGATAGTAAAGCAGTTCCATGTTTTACACCAAGTAATATTCTAGTTTTATCATTCCAGAAATTCAGACATTTCCGGAAAAGTAGTAGCCTCGTTTAAAAAAAACAAAACTCAAAATTTCTTAATAAGAAGAAAATGATTTTAGCAACAGTACATTTAAAAAAAAACAGAGGGAAAGGAGACATTTAGTTTTAGAGTGTTTCACTGGCCTTTGAGTTTTCTCTCAGTCATCTGCAAATAAATGAAAGCAATATATATATTAAAATTATCTTTCCTGTTGAAGAATTAACTGTAGGAGCAGCATTCTCATTGATATCTGATGTAAAATTATGTTAAAGCACAGTCTGGAAGAGATTTACCCAACAGATATATCAAAAGGGATACTATCCTTACCCCTAATTAGTGGAGCAAATCTCCATTTTATGGACTATATCAGCAATTTCTGTTGGAGTAACTTTGTGGGCTGTCTCTTATGCAGAAAGATCACTGACATTTTCTTCTTTAGCACTTCCGCATGAAAATATGAGAAATTTTTCTTTAAAAGATTGCTGGCTTCGCAAAAGTGTCTCTATCAACAGCAGTCAAAGCAAGTCCTCGACATACGACCACAATGGAGCCCCAAATTTCTGTTGCTAAGAGAGACTATTCATAAATGAATTTTGCCCCAGTTTATAATCTTTATCGCCACAGTTGTTAAGTGAATAACTTCAGTTGTTACTTTAGTAACATGGTTGTTAAATGAATCTAACTTCCCCATTGACTTTGCTTGTCAGAAGGTCACAAAAGCGGATCGCAACTGTCATAAATATGAGTCAGTTGCTAAGCATTGGAATCTTGATCACATGACCATGCGGAGGCTGCAACAGTTGTAAGTGTGAAAAATGGTCATAAGTCGTGTTTTCAGAGCCGTTGTAAATTCAAATAGTAAATGAACTGTTCTAAGTTGAGGACTACCTGCATAGGAGACTTTTTGTAGTGCTGTCCTATACTGTATATATATCTAAAAAAAATCTCCTAAAAATAAATGACATTGTTTGCAATAGATCTTGCCCCAGCTGTTTATGGGATCATAATCTTAAACTATTTTGGGGGATGCAGAAAATTTAATTGCTGAAGCAGAAATTTGAAATAGCAAAGCTCTTCGTATGGAGACAGAATATATATTGATGTACTAAAATAAAATATATTTTTTCAGTGGTTGGCTTTCCAAAATTGATTAAAGTTCATATTATAACTTTTAATCAGGAAAATACTAAGCAAAATTGTGGCACATGCAGATGTGCTTGTATGATTTCTCAGTTGGATATTTCCAATATCTTCAATTTTTAATAAATATCAAGGAGGGAAAAAAGGTTTATTTTGTTCTGCAAATTAGCAAAATAATGCTATGTTTGGTTCAACCATGAGTGTGGCTTCCAGTCTATGCATCTATTCAAAGGTTCCCTTTAATTCATTTGAATACATGCCGTAGGAAGTTATGTAATACATATAATATATTCTACTTGTAATATAGTATAAACAACTGTTTGCTGTTTTACCTTGGGGAACTTAGAGGAGTATTGGGGTAACGGAGAATGAAGGAAATATTCTGGCTAAATTTTAGACTAGAAAAGGCCTCTTTTGATTAGTGCAAATCTTTTGGAAAAGGTGCTTTGCAACATGCAGGTTGCAAAAGTACTACAAAGTACCTTTCTTAACATGGTTAAAAAGCCCTATCCTTTCCTAGGCTTGTGTGACTACTTTGTAAGCTGTTCTTAACTATCTTGACATGTGTGCATAGGATGACTACTTGGTTTTGTTGTTTAAAAAAAT